GATGACATGGACTTTCCTCCATAGCTGACAGAGAGAAAGCCTTCTCCTGGAGCTGATGCCCTGATTTTGGACTTGTAGCCTACTGGACTGTTAGAGAATAAACTTATCTTTGCTAAATCCATCCACTTGTGGTATTCCTGTTAGAGCAGCACCAGATGACTGAGACGGGGCATCATACCACAGTCCTCAGATGGGCAGGACACCAGAGGTAAGTGTATTTGTGCCACTAAAATCACCAAGACGAAGCGGGGAGAGGGAGCATGCTCTTCTGGTCATCAGGTGTGTGTGCCTGGGCACTTCCTGTTGGCTGCAGACAGCAATCAGGACATAGCCCTGACCAAGTGTGAGTAGAGGGGGGCTGCTTGTAGTGTGGTCAGGTGGGGGACCTCCTGCTAACACTATGAATCTATTACTCTGTGTACGCCACCCACCCTAATGGTCAGTGACCACCGCTGGAGTAGTCCTGTTTCTGGATCCTGGCTCCCTCTCAGCTCTGTGGACACCAGGATCCCTGGAGCGCTTACCCTCCTTCCTGTACTTTTCCTCTTTAGATGTGGTTTATGTTCTGTTCACCTTGCTTCACTCTGGGTATGTCTACACACTTTCTCTGTCTCCTATTGGGGATTTCATGAAGTTGCCTTCCTGTGCTCCTCACCTGGTATCACTGCTGGCTTTGTTTCAAGATGGCCACACTCTGCTGGTCTGGCTGATAGGGAACCTTCCCTCTGTATCTCTCTTTGTTCACTGTTTTTGTTCAAATTCTTTGTCCAGTCGATGTTCGATCTAATTCTCTATCCTTCCATTTGATGCTCAGGGCTCAAGGACTGTCATCTCTGTTTTACTTGGTTTCTCAGGTCTTTGCTACAGAAGGATAGCATGCTGTGTCTAAGTTGCCATCTTGGGCCGTCTCTCCTCAATGCTATAACTTCTTGTAGCAAATTTCTTCACCTCATTGAATAATTCCCAGTATTTCACTGTTCATTATAATAACAAGATACTAGGTCATGGATAACTTTTATAAAAGCTAGAAACATGTATGTGTATATGTAATACGCATATAAATTTATTATGCAAAGAATACATCATAGAGAAACCAGAAGATACAGACTATAAAAATCACTCAAAATCCCACCCCTTAAAGATGACCATTGTTAAAAGTTTTTGTAAATATTCAACAGCTTTCTATGCAAACACGTTTATATGTTATACATACTATTCTATAACTTGTCTTTCCCTCTACTTAACCAATATATTATAAATCTTCCTTGTCAACAAATATATCTACACTGCTTGAATAGTTTCTTGGTATTCCACTGTATGTATAAACCATAATTTATTTACTCACTTTTCCATTATTAGACATTTAGGTTTTCAAGTTGTAATTATAAATACTGTGATGAATCACCTCATAGAAACATACATCTTCATGCACTTATCCAATCATTTCCCCAGAAAACATTTTCAAGGTCACTGCTCAGCTGTCCAGATTCACCATAACTTTTTTATCCCTGGGTTCACTCCTGTATCATATACTCCTAGGCAGTCATTTGGAGGAATTTGGTATACAACAAACAGCAATATTCTAAGTACAGGGTAAACAGAAGCAGTCAAGTCCTATCTCAAAATGCTGTAATTTTTCTAGATTTATACAAACAAGTTCTTGGGAAATTTTCATTCCTGAGAAAAATGTGGATTCTTTGTTCAAATTATACCATATTCATTTAAAAACTACCGACACAAGAGTAACCAATGAAGACTAAGGTAACAATGACTGATAATCATTACAGCTTACAAAGCTATGTGACTGGGATATGGCACTTCTGGGTGGTGCGAACAGTTAAGTACTCAAGTACTAACTGAAAGGTTGGTGGTTTGGACCGACTTAGAAGCAGCTCAAAAGAAAGGCCCGGTGAACTGCTTCCGAAAGTTCACAGCCTTGAAGACTCTATGGAGTGCAATTCTACTCTGCAACACATGGGGTCACCATGAGTCAAAATCTACGGCAATTCAAAACAAAAAAAACCACCTTACAATTACCCATGGGTACTGCTGTACCCTGCTTTTAAGAGGAGGCAACTGAAGCTCAAAAAAGTCAAGTCAGTTGCCCAAAACACTGGGGCTAAGATTATAATTTGTTTCAAAGCCCATACTTTTAATGTTAGTGCAGTCAAATGAGTCACTGAAAGTAAATTCAGACATCCAATGACCATGCAGAGCTGTAGTCTTTCTTACTATATACTTACCATATGTACCACTGATGAGGGAATGCTACTTTTTAAATATACTAAATGATAACCATTTTGGAAAGTGTATTAAGCTGAAAAACAGAGCCTAAAAGATACGTTGCTTCTAAGATTAAGCATCAGCTCTGCCATCAAAATAGGTACTAATATTATTTTATGTGAATTGTTTGTAAGAGAGTCATAGATCATTTCTAGACAGGACATGTTGACTTCAATCCAGATTTATTCAATCATTTAAAAAATAAAAAAACACTTTTATTAAATACTTCTATTGAACATGTTTAGGTAAAATATCTTGTTAAGTTTATAAACCAAATATCAGTGACCTAGTAATAAAAATGGGAAAATAATTTGAATCTATTTTCATGGTTGACACATATTGAAATGCAAAACGAACATAACAGAATCTTATAAACTACACATTTCAGCTTCACAGAAAATGCTAGGTTGACAAATAAACACAATCTTAAAAAGTCACCCTACATATTATTACAAATAAGCAGACTATTTACAGAAGACTTTATTCATGTTTCATCATAGTGTATTTCCAAAAATTATAAATATTTTAGATACAACCCTATTCTAAATATAAACTCAATATTTTTATGTCCTATTTTATCTAAGGAGAAATGAAAATGTATATGATAAGAGTTTGATATTACTTAAATCTGACTTTTCATATTTAGGACACAGTAAATTTGAAAGGAACACTTCAACTGAAGCAGTATTAATGACTAAATAAAATCAGCAAGATGTACTTAGAAAACTGGAAAAAATGTCCCCTTTAATAGCATCTCTGTAAAAAAATTATAAATATTCCCAATTTTTTCATTTTAAAAGAAGATTGTCATCTGGGTAAGCTTTTTAGAGTAGATATGCAATACATCCAGTGTTTTCCTCAAAAAGGGACTTTTGTATCAGATCTCAAGGTAAAAAAAAAAAAAAAAAAAATCCACTTCTGTTCAATATTTAGGTGACACCTCAAACTAATCTAACCTAATAGATCCAATTTTTCACCAGGTAAAACTAACATGAAAGCTCTTAAAATTCCTTAGTTTAACATATTTTTTCCTTCCAAAATCTATACAACAGTAAGTTTTAAGTTTACTTTCTATTTTATCTTGAACATAACTTGAACTACAAAATCCAGCTCAGTCCTCTGCATTTCATAAAGAAGCATGCTATAAATCCCTTGTATCCAAAATCTCCCAGTCAATCTACCTTGGGAAAAACAGGGTATTCCAGGAGGGAATTTGACAGTAGGAGATACTGACATGGACTATGCTGATTGATTACATAAAATCTTGCATAGATTTTTGTTCAATAAAATGCTCCCAGATAATGAAGATATGATGAATTAATATGCAGTACACAGGTAAATCCTGAAAGACAGATCAGGACACTAGAAGGAAAAGGTTGAAACAGAAAATTTGAGAACATGTTCCTCTGAAATGGTGCATATTTTTCTCTTCAGAAGAGAAAAAGTTGTAAGACACATTCTCAATTCTGGCTCTTCTAGGAAGACAATAATGGTCTGTGCCAAAATGTTTCTTCAATGAAAGTGTAAGAGGGAAATTCTTCTTAAAAATATATATTAAACATACATTAATAAAATGTATACTCCAGTTTGGGGTAGGGGTTTTCCAATTCTAAAAAACTGAAAATCTACAATTCTTAGTTTTATCTTAAAGGAATCTAAGCATGGATGAGCTTCAACTATGATCTGAATCATTGAACTGATCATTTTATTCTATTTTAAAAGTACAGATTTTACTAAAATACACCCAACTTCAGCTCTGAAGATACGGGTTCAAGGTCTGTTCATGCTTATTCTAAAAACTCTGCTTGTAGAGCATTCCTGTCAATAAAACCCTATAAAATTATTCTAAAATGAACTTTTTCAACCTACTGAACTGAACTCATGCCCACCCTTTAATGTTTATTTCAGCAGCATTTGTCTCTGTGAAACACACCAAAATCACTCAGACATCAAATTGCTGATCTGATAGAATGATTTATTTCCCATTACAGGAAAAGTCATGAGTGACTTGTTCTGAGGTATGTTTTGAGCTATGAAGGACTTCTATTAGAAAGCTCCATACTTCAAGGTTTCTGTTTAGGTGGTAACGTTTTATGGCTGGACAGTCTCTGCAGGTACCAGATTCCCTGTTGTATCCAACTGCATACATTTACACGTACACGCAGACACAGGGCACTCTGCATGGTCCCTAAACAAATAGGTCAGATAACCATTAAAAATCTATATCAAACATACCTATATTGTTATATGTATACATAAAATAAAAAGTCTCTGGATTTTAATTTCTATGTTTTCCCAAGTGATTGAGGTTATATGTGTATAATATATATGGAAAAACATAGGAATTAAAGTCTAGAGACAAAAAGCATTAAAGGCATTAAATCAGAAATGACTGCCAAGCTGAACTTGGGAAGAAAGTTATTAAAAAATGAAGAGCTTTGCTTTCTAAATATATATAACAAGATTTCTCATGTACAGTTAAGGTGACAAGATGACAGGGATGTGTGCTCAGTTTAAATAAAAGCTGATGTGAGAAACTGGGCGTAAAAGTTACAGCAATGAGGAACACAGGGTCACTTGGACTGTTCAAAATAAAAGTTGAATATGATCTTGAGAGTTTCCACTGTATGGATACTTACTTACAAAACAAGCTTAATGAGAAGACAATTGATGCAGCAGTATGATATGTACTCTTATCATTTCATTTATATTTCAAATTTATGATAAATTTTAGAATATTCAGTTGCAAAAAACTATAAACATATCTTCTCCCCAAATAAATACAGCTAAATAATGCTACTCAAACCTTTAACTCACAAAAAAATATTTAAACCATTTCTTATATAACTATAAATTTTAGAGTTTAAGATTGCAAAGGCTGTCTAATGAACTCATTAACTCAAGTGATGGTAAAAAAGAAATTCATCTTTTGGCTATCTATGAACATATAAACTTGAACGATTTAAAAAGCCATCTGCTTTATCTCCTGTAACTCTAAATCTATTAAAGAAGGAATGTGCTGATTACCTGAACCAACTAAGCATATGTCCGGCATGCCCCCCATGCCTGCAATTGTGACACCATGTAAACCAGTTGTTAAATTGAGCTAATTTTTTGTCCTTGCTCAAGTCCACTTTTTCATCTGATTTGGATCCTCCTATGGAAAAAGCAAATTGTCTTCATTAACTATACCAGAATATTTTACTCAACATTTGTCAAAAGATATTTCTAAAACTATGTTTAAAATACAAATCGTATACCATCTAGAAATAGCAAACTGGATGCTAGCATCTAGTTTAGACTGAATGAATACTAAATGATAGAAGTTTCCCCACATTTTAAATAGTCAATAAAAAATCATCAAAGTCCACTAAAAAACAATCTGAATTAAAAACTTTAGAGAAACAATCATTTTCTTCTCATAAAGAAATCCTCTTCCTTATAGGGAGAGCAATTAGGGTCACATAACAATGTATGTATAAATTTTTGTATAAGAGACTAACTTGAAATGTAAACTTTCACTTAAACTACAACAATAAACAAAAAGAAAAAAGAAATCCTCTTCCTACAAAGACTCTTCCCCTTAAAGAAAATACCAGGCCTGCTTATAGGTAAGTTCTATCAAACACTGAAGTGACAGGTAATTCTTATCTACACAAACTCTTTCAAAGAACAGAAAAAGAGGGAATACTTCCCAATGCACTTCATAAGGCTGGTATAACTTTGCTAACAAAACCAGATAAAAATAATATGAGAAAAGAAAATTATAGACCAATCTCCCTCTTGAACACAGGTGAAAAAAAATCCTAATTAAAATATTAACAAACAATCTTGCAATGTCATAATCCCATAATTCTCAGTAACTACACTACAGAAACTCTTGCATATGTCAAAAGAAGACATACACAAAAATGTTCATAGTAGCATTGTTCATAATAGTGAAAATATGGAAACAACCAAAGTGGCCATCATTAATAGACTGGAAGAACTGCGTTACAGTCATGAATAGAGCACTAAATAATAGTGAAAAATTAATAAACTACACCTACATTCATCAGGATAATTGAAACTAAAAAAGTAAAAAAAAAATGTTGAAGAAGAAAGGCAAGTCAAAGAATACATTCCATATGATTCATTTAAATAGAATTCAAAACACAGGCAAAATGAAACATAGTGATAAAACTATACAGACAAGCAAGAGACTGACTAACACAACTCGGGACACTGGTTACCTCTACGGAACAGGTAGGGGGTGTGAACAGGCAGGGAGGAAGGATCAATGGTACTGGTATAGACAATCTTTTAAGCAGGATGGGACTCACTGATGTTTGATTCATCAAAATATATGGTACATACAGTCTTACCTATGTTATAGTTCACAAAAAATTTTTTAAAAATGTGTTATTACATATGAATATACACATATGTCTTCATATACATCTTTATGTAACTTTGAATGCTCAAAACATGCTCATTCTATTAATTTTGGCTACCTCAAGTGTTTTCTTAACTAAGCAGCTGTGTATCTATTAAGAAGATGCATTCGCTAATAATGTATTCAAAATTTCACCTTGACCACTGCTGACCACACTTTAATAATAAACACAGGGATAGTCTTGCAAGTATGTAAAAATGATTCCATCTGTTTTTGCAAATAATATGAAGGTGGAAAAATGGCTAGTAGGTTCAAGAATTTAAGATGGTTTTGGAAATACATCCACTCCTCACTTATTGACATGGTTCGGTTCCAAAGACCAGGTTATTACGTGAAAATCAGTGTTATGCTAGAGCTGGGGCCACACCCCATCTTCAGTGCTGGTGCCTCCCCCAGTCGCTCACCACCCGTCCGGCACCGCCAGCACATCTTGGGATGCGCGTGGAGCAGCAGGCCCCCCTTCATCACCATGCTTTCCCTACCACTGAGGAGCCCGCGGGGGGTTGGTGGTGATGGTGATGGTAGTTGAGGGTTGCCTGTTGCCTCTGGAGCAGCAAGGGCCAACCATCGCCTGGCTGCGCTCCAGGCCTCCACGTGGACTCCTGCGCCTTGCCTCTCCACCTTACCACTCCGCTGGCCCCAGAGACAGGCCTCGGCAGCAGGTGTCTCTGGGGCCTGCAGTTAGGTGAAGCCTGGCCATGTGGGCCTGGCAGAGGCTGTGGAGAAGGCAGAGAGGCCTCTTTGGAAGAACAGACTTCCGAGTCCCCATATGATTCCTGCAGCCCTGGCTCCCACTGCCTCCTCATGGCCGCCCTGTGCTCGCTACAGGCCTGGCCTGGCTCCTCCACCCGATCTGGGTGATACGAACCACTGGCGGCCTGTGCAGCCTCACTCCCTCTCACAAACCTCCCCTTTTCCTCCTCCTCCTCCCCCTCTCACTGGGGCTCCTCATTAACATGCAAAATAGTCAGATGGTAGATTTCTTCTATTGTCATAAATGCGAAATGTCAGATAACGAGATAGTCGGTAAGTGAGGAGTAAGGTAGATAGTGGTGACGGTTGCACAACATTGTGAATGTAATATTGTTGAATTGTACACTTAAAACAGCTAAAATGGCAGATTTTGTTATATGTATTTTATAATAAAATCTAAATAAAACTATATATATATGCATATACACATACATATATGAATTTAAGAAGTAAAATGCACTGAAATTCCTCCTAAAGGACTCGCCAAAACAATTAACAGTGTGAGAGGGAAAAAAAGAGAGAAAATACATTAAATTTCTTCAAGACCTTATAGAGACATTATTTTATATCTTTGTGTAAAGCCCTTACTAGTGATTTTCACTTTGAAAACAAGAGACTAATCCTTATGTTTCTCTGATGAAGCTGGAAATAACAGCCTCCTCACTGCCACGTGAAAAGGCCTTTTTTTTTTTTTGATCAAATGACTTTAAAGAAGAAAGATTTATAGGGAATTATGAAGATAAGTGCTACAGAATCGTTGAGGAAAACTATAGCTTCACTTATACCCTAATAATAATGAGCCCTTGTGGTGCAGTGGTTAAGCACTCAGCTGCTAGCTGAAAGGTTGGTGGTTCAAACGCACCAGCCACTCTGCGGGATAAAGATGTGGCCATAAAGATTTACAGCCTTGGAAACCCTATGGGCAGTTCTACTCTGTCCTGTAGGGTTGCTATGAGTTGGAATCAACTTGATGGCAATGGGCTAATAATAATAAAAGAACAGTAAGAAATAAAGCAGTATATAATCTAACTTTGAAAAATGTATAACCGCCTAGAAGTTAAGCTCTCCAAAGGCCGGGGCCTAGGGCCGGGGATTTTGGTCTGTTTTACTCACTGCAGCACTTTTAGCATTTAGAACAATGGATACTAAATAAACATTTGTTGAATAAATAATGTTTATAATGTATAACAATGTTAATTAGAACTGTTTCTATAGAGTTCTAATCTTCCAAACAGAACTGAGTAGCACTCTCAGTTAAACAGGCTTACAGAACTTGGTTGCCTGGATAATGAAACATGATGGATGGATACAACCCCTCACCACAGGCAAAGCACACGGAGGTTTGTACACCTGAACCTTTAAACTGCTATGAGCCAGCATTTGTTTTCTATTAGGTCTTGCTTTATTTTGGAACTAAGATTTTTCTGATTTCACTACCGAAAAAGAATATGCTTATTATTTTCTAATTTTCTAAGCTCTGCAATGCCTTTAAAGATTGTAGTCAGGCTCCCCTTAATTTTCCTATACTACTTCCTATCAGTCCACTTCCTAGGCCCTTGTCACGCTGACACACTTGCTACTTCCCACACACTCCCGGCACTTATCATACTTACCAATCTTTTTACCCTAGTTCATGCTTTTTATTCTTGGTTTACAACCTGAAAAGGCTTCCCTGAAATCTCTACATATTTAAATCAAAGAAGCAGCTTAAATGCTTCCTTCTTCCTGAAGTTTTCCAGGTATCCTTCAGAAAGAAGTAATGTTTCCCTCCTTCAAAATTCCTAACACTTATACAAAGTCCCTTACCCACCCTGGGGGCTAGATGTATTTTAAAATTCAGAAGGTTTGGGGATTTTAGAAAAAAAATAAGGGGCAAATATTACATACAACCCTCCAGGGAGTCTGAGGCAGCACCCTGTAGTCAAACACGTTAGTATATCTGCAGTAAAATATCTGAATATTCACAAACAAGGGAAATATAGACCATAATAGCCTCATGTCAATTCTGAACAGGTTTTATTGCCAAATTAGATTACTGTAAATTCATTTTTAAAAACTTAGGATTTTCAGATTCTTTCAGAGATTTCAGAATGGCAGATAAGGGACTGTGGACCAGTTTTTATCTTCTAGAACATATCACTTCTTATTTTAGTTATCTATGCTCCCTGAATAGCATAAACTCCACAAGGATCTTTGACTGATTCATCTCAGCACATCAGTTTTATCTAAGTGTATGAAATATTAAGTGTTTTGATATATATTATATAAATAAATTTATTTCTCAAGCAAATCTACGGAAGTTTTCTGAAGCAAAAATGGAAAAACGTTAATTTGATAAACCTGACTCTTGAGCATTCATTGTCTTAGTCTCTATAACAGCGTTCGAATGTTTTATGACTTAATTTTCTTTAAATTCTAGAAAATAGTTTTTACCTCTTTTTTTAAAACCTATTTCAAAAGCAGAAAAGACTAAAAAGCTAGTATGCAGCAAAACCCAACAGCACTCAGGTGTCATTAGAAGGCAAATAACCGTTACAGCTTCCTGAGGTTTGTGCTCCAAAAGATGTATTAAATTTAACTATTTCTATGTATTTGAGTTCACATAGATAAAGGTCTTATTTATGCTATATTCCACCTTCTTATCCATTTTATTGTAGTTGATATTCCAAATTGTCATTTTCTATTATTAGTATCAGGGCCACATTAAAAAAAGATCAGAAAGTAATGTATAAAATGAAAAACTTCGATAAAAATTTAAATAAAACATAAAATGTATATTTAAAAACATTACATCTCCTCCTTTACTTACTAAAAACAAAAAAACAAAGGCAGCCAGTGACACTTGTAAGTCTTTCACAGATGCTGCAGTAACAACACAACAGACTACTCATGTGAACAAGCTGCATAACAGAATTACAAAATGGCAGAACTAGAAAGGACCTGCCAGTCCAACAGCCTATATTAAAAAGGGCTAAAGTAATGCTCAGAGCCATAGTGGAGTTAAAACTAAAACAGGCAGGCATTCTGACACACTATCTCATTCTTCGTTAATTACACCAGGGTGCCAAGTATTCAAAATGTTTTTAATCAACGTTGTTCCCATAGTATCATATTCAAGTTATTTAAATAGCTGGAATATTCCCAGCCACTGGGTATATTATTTATATTCAATTACCTGCTATCTCAAAAAATATTTTTTTCACAAGATGATTTACTGTGATTAGCAAAAAAAAAATCCGAGCACTTCTAACCATTAAAAACATATATATTTACTAGGTAACTGACAAATACAGCAGAAGAGGCCTAGAAGTCAAGGGACCTGGCATCCCGATTAACACTTTGCCTATATACTTCACAGGTGGATTTTGCAGATAAAATGAGGAAATGTAAAAGCGCTTTGAGACTATCAAAAGCTCTTTATGAATACAAGGCACTTGTTATTAGACAATGCCACACTATTAAAAATTTGAGAGAACTCTTAGCAGAAATGGTGATTAGAAAATGGCTTAATTATAAGATTACTGACTATTTAAGCTTGTCCCACAAACCTTAAATTGGTCAACATTTGTGGGATTACCTGAGGTATCATGGATATAGATTTTACTTTTAATCTATAAATTACATAAATTATGAGGAACACAAAAGTTTTCAAGCCAGTAAATCTGCTCTTTCTTTGATATAAAATAAAACCAAGCTAGTATGTATTTTATTTACAATATTAAATTATGTAGGAACAACTTTAGCTCAGAAAAGTCTTTTAGAATTATGTCATACCAGGACAGCTAGAAACAGGTGTTCCCATATTAATGAGGCAAAGTGCACATCGAGGAAGGGGTTTCCGACAGCCAGGGCAACTTGTGACCTTAGATTTTGTTGGTGAGCCACTGACTCCATACTGACTAAAACCTCGGCCCTGATGAGGCACAGTTGAACAGCTGTAGGAGATAGACTTGCCACAGAAATTGCAACTCACAAACACCTACAAAATAAATGAAAGGAGAAAGAAAATGTAATGCAAACCATAATGAAAAGATAAATAATTCAAAGCTTAAATCTAACAAGTTATTTTAAAATAATTTTATTTTAAATTTTAAAATAATTTGTTATTTGCTAGGTTTTGACTTGCTCTCATTTAAAATCTCCACTTAGCAGTTATACTATTTGGGCACTTCCTTTCTGTTACCTTTGTTTAGTTACATTCTTCCTAATATCATTGACAGAGGCAGGAAAAGCTGGGGACTTTAGATCTCAACATTTTACAGATAACAAAGACATTAGAGTTCACAATGGAACATTATGAAATATGACTTCTAATTTAAAACTCAGTGATACCATCCTGTGAGCACAAATTTTTTGTAAAGAAACCACTCTTCTAAGATAAAAGGGAGTTCGGGATTCTGTAACGGCAAACAATTAAAACTTTAGAATACTAGCAATCAGAAGCTGTTCGTTTTTGTTTTTAGAGTGAATTCTTAGGCTCTTTAATCACTTATCAAATAGATTAGTAACAAATATTACCATTTAAGGCTATTTTACTAATACTAGAGTTGTTTTAATATAAGCACTAATTTCTCAATTTCCTAAGAGAATAGCACCATCCAGTGCTCACATTGAGGATATACCCAATATTTAATACTTTAACTAAGATGTAGATATCGCATGTCATGTGCATAATGTGGTATTAATTTCATGCTCTTTTTGTAATTAATGTTAAAGCAAAAAAAAATTTCCATGTGTAATTTAGACATGTAGGTATATGTATATATTGTTAAAGATAAAAATGCTGCCTTTTTACATATAAATAGCACAGAAAATCTTTACATACAAATGAAATTTTTAAGTTCATTTTGCTGTTGTTGCGTGCCATCAAGCGGGTTCCGACTCATAGGAACCCTATTTACAAAAGAATGAAACACTGCCTGGCCCTGCACCATCCTCACAATTGTTGCTGTGCTTGAGCCCATCGCTGCAGTCACTGTGTCAATCCATCTCGTAGTGCTTTCCAACCTGAGGGGCTCATCTTCTGGCACTGTATCAGACAACATTCCGCTGCTATTCATTAAGGTTTTCACTGGCCAGTTTTTTCAGAAGTAGATCGCCAGGTCTACTTTTAGAATCTAAATGATCTTAAGATCACAGAGCAGTTTAGCTACTAAAAGGGCTTTGAATATACTGGAAAACCTCAGACAGCTCTAGGATTCATATAGGTTTGCCTAAGATTCTCTAGACCTGCTGTCATTTGCTTTATCTTCGACTAAAAAGGTCAAGCCACTAAGATGAGTGATAGGAAGTGGCAGGACCAGAAAACAGGAAGATCAAGGACAAAGTGCAGTCTGGGACAGATAGCAACATCAACAGGAACTTAATAAAAGAAACTAAACTAGAATCCACTGCTGTGGAGTCGATACTGACTCATAGCAATCCTAAAGTACAGATTAGAATTACCCCATAGGGTTTCCAAGGCTGTAATCTTTATGGAAGCAGACTGCCACATCCTTCTCCTGTGGAGTGGCTGGTGGGTTGGAAATGCTAACGTTTTTTTTAGCAGCCGAGCACTTAACCACTGTGTCACCAAAAGAATGAGCTAACAATCATTTATTAAATTGAACTCTAAATTTATTCTACATAACATGTATACGCACTTGGTTCTTTGGCTGGAATATTGAAGACATGTTACAATTTGCTTCTCTCCTTAAGAATGTACTTACCTGTGCTAAAGGCTTGGAACTGGGATCCAACTTACTCCTGTGAATATCAAATTCAGCGCGTTTATGCCAAAACCTCCAGGCATCTAATAAATTTCTATAATTCTCAATCCAGTACTGAACCCTTTCATCTTTAAGAACATCTAAAGGAGAACCCTAAAAAGAAAACATGAATTATTTCAATTGTTTAAAAATTACCCAGCTAAGCCACAGGATTCTGGTTAACATATGAGTATGCGCGACATGGAAGAAATACATCCCCTTTTTGCCAAAATCTGGCTCCAAATGAAGATATATATATAAAATAATTGATAGAAAGCGCCATTAATTTACTTTAAGATGGCCTCCATTAAGGACTTAAATAAGTAATGTACATATCATTATACCTGGCAAGGGAAGTGTAATTCTTTATTTCTTATTTAAATTTAAGATACCAGCAGCCAACAATTCACCTTCCTGGGTGAATGCAGTAAAACGTGATGTGGATGCCTTTTATGCCAACAATTAACATTTCTAGGATCACAAAGTCTGTTTACTATCTAATCCATGCCCACCAAATTTGCTCAATCACATTTAAAATAATACTAAGCCTGATCCTTTGTATTTAGCAGTGCATTGTGAACCGAGATGGTGCTTTTATATACCTATTTATCTGTAAGTTAAACCTGCCTAACCTCTTTCTTACCCTCAATTAAAACATACATTTATCTCCTTAAAATTACCAAAAAAAAAAAAAAAAAAATCCAACAGCAAAACCAAAAAGTTTCTCAGTTCTTTTGCCCCTAGGCCATATGGAAAAGCAACAATTAGCTTTACTTAATTTTACTTTAGATTTCTTCTCATTAAGAACTTCAGTTAACTTGCCAATAAGAATTTTCCTAAAGCTGTATTCTCCATGGCAGCTGTGACATTCCACATTTCACTTATGCTTGCTTTGGGTTCTCATGGAAAGCTTTTAGCCCTGTTTAGGACATCTTCTTTCACTGTCATGTTGGAAAAAGCAGGGAAAGTCTCTACCTCCAATGATGCCACGGGCATCAATTTGAAGCTCAGTTTTCCCAATCCCATTTGAGGGCAGATGGAAAAGCAGAATGTTAGAGAGAACTTGGCATGCATCTTACTCATGGAAAAAGAGGCAGAAATCTGTTAACATCTAATAAAGACAATGTATCTTTAGACACTCTATCAAAAATAGAAGGCCTGTATCTTTCAATTATTAAATTAGGTGTTAATTTTAATTACTGGAGTTAAATTTGGCTAAAAGAACATGTGAAAAATTCTCAACGGACAATATTATTTCTCAAAAAAGCAGAGACCTATTCTAGTCCTAATTATGACCAACTAAGAACTAATTACCAAAGCAGCATATGATCCCTGTTTTAAAAGGAAAATTTACAGAAAAATGAGAAATCTTTATGCCCCACTCTTTCCCCTTGCAATGGACAATATGGACATCACATGGCAGATCACTTGTAAAGATAAATGAAAAAAGATTTGGTCAATTTACAGAATCGACTCAATGGCAATTAACAATAACAAAGTCTTCTCGAGACCTGCCCTAACAAAGCCTAAAATCAAGCCCTGACAAGGTCCATAGAGTTCAGAGATTGAGTCCGACCAAGTTAGAAAGACTCAGGAAATACCTTGGGCTTTCCACAGATCCATAGTAACAAAACATAAAACCAAAAATTATCAACCTGTAACTGAATTGTCTTAAAACAATAATCAACACTCTTTAGGAAAGGTAAAAGAACCCAGATCTCTATAATCTACTGTACACGGTGTCCAGTATTCAATGAAAAACTACTAGACACACAAAAAACAGGTAAATGTGGTTCAAAGTTAGGGGAAAATGAAGTCAATAGAAACTAAAATAGCCCGGATGTTAGAATTAGCAGACAAAGACTGCTCAAAGCTATCAGAAATATGATCAAAGAATTAAAAGAAAATGGGTTCAAAGACTTAAAAATAATATTTGAATTAGTGAACAGATAGGGAGTCTGAGATGAGAAATGTAAACTTTAAAAAAAATTAAAATTCTAGAACTAGAAAGCACGGTGATTAAAATTAAGAATTTCCTAGAAGGCATTAACAGCAGATAGGAAATGGCAGAAGAGTTAATGAACAAATCAATAGAAATGACTCAATTTGGAGAACATATTAAAAAAAAAGATGGAGGGAACAAACAGAGTCTCTGGGACATGGGACAATAGCAAACGGTATAATCTATGTGTAATAAGAGCCAAGAAGAGAATGAGATTAGGGTAAGGAGGGAGTCAACTATATTCACTCATATCATGCTATTATATTGTGTGAAAAGTATGCAGGAAGGAAAGAGGAAGATAATGCCAGCATGAAAATAAGATTAGTTAGAGGGCTACTGGAATCTCAGGGAAATGCTCTGAATTTTCACCATATTTTTAATGTAGGTAAAGTAGAAGGTAACCTTTGCCAGGAATCTGTCTTTAACCACTGGATAGTAAAAACTGAGAAAAAGCAGCTGAACTGGTTACCCCAAATCACGCCTACTGAAAATGAAAAGGGGAAATGAGAGTTAAGAAAGCTGTGGTATAACTTGTCTTCTGTACTTCAAAAGAGACTATAGTTTAGATTAGGGAGAGGGAACTTCTTGTGTAGAGGTGTAGTTCTGCCAACAATGGGAGAATTGAAGACAGGTTTCTCTGTTCCATTTGCACTTTACATAAATTTAGACATGGTCAAGACTGACACTTCCCAGACTGAAAGGAATAACTGGACAATCCAATGCAGGCAACTTAGGGACAGTTAGACAAAGCACAAGTCCTTGTAGATCAAGTGATTAGGTTAAAGCTAAATGCCTTCTAAATAATCTAAGCAAGCAAAAGTGCATACATTCCCCCTCTTTTTTTTAGATGCTGCCACACTGTACTAACCTGTAACATGCAGTAACTTGCTGTTTGGACATCTCCAGTTCTATCAACGTAACTCTCCATTAAATCCACTCCATCTTTAGTAAGGCCTGTAAGCAGAATTCCTTCCAAATTTCCAGCCTCTTTCATTTCATTGGTCAATTTTTCGATGTATCTATTTAACTGGAAGATTCAAAGTGATTATACGTATTGTACTTCAAAACTTCTAGATTTAGAACAATTTTATTCCTAATGAAACACATTTTAAAACAAAAGCCTTTACTAAAATCTAGATATGTGATCTCTAAAAGTCTGCATCTATTATAAATTACAATGCAGCATCTAAGATCATTTAAAATATTTAAAAAAGGTAAGACATTTACAACGTTTTGATAATTATTCTATAAAAGATTTATAAAGGGTTTACAATTTTAAATTTACAGAGAATTGTTCCCATTATTCTACAAAGTTCTTGCTATTATACCAGGATGTAACAATAAAAATATCTGATATGGAAGGGAACTTTGAGATCATAAGGTCTAACCATCTCCTCTAAGGACTTCCCTGACTTCACCCCACACTAAACTCTAGTCAAGATTCCTTTTCATCCCCCTAGCACTTTATCATTATTAGAGTACATAGCACATCGTACTACTAGTTGTTTATGGGCATTTCTCCCTAACTGTACACATATTAAGCATTTCTCCATCTCCAGCAATTAGGATATAGTGTTTACACATAGCACAGATGTTTGGTAACTGTTATTGTATAAGAAAATGAATCCTTTTTATAACATCACGAAGAGGTAGCTTTAATATCTCTTATCTACTGACCAATCTCACCCCTCAAAGCAGAAATGAACTAAAATATTAAGTTAGCACTCTAAACAAGTAAATTTATGATAGACATGTTCATAATATCCTGATCTAATAAAGAAACTACCACTTTACTTCCCTGAGTGGTGCAAATGGTTTGTGCTCAACTACTAACTAAAAGGCTGGCAGTTCGAATCCACCCAGAAGCACCATGGAAGAAAGGCCTGGTGATCTACTTTGTAAGATTATAGCCATTGCAAACCCCATGGAGTGCAGTTCTACTGTGACACACACAGGGTCACCATGAGTCAGAATCGACTCAATGGCAATGGGTTTACTTTTTAGAAGAATTTACACACAAATCTCATATATACTTACCTGCACATAAACTTCCTAAAATAATTCAGTGACAGTAAATATTAATCATTTCAAACACAGAATTAAGTAATTTCTCACCTGAGTATCACTAAGGAATTTACAAGCAAATGCCACTCTGTCACGTACTGCAACTTTGTTTTCATACTGGAAGGCGAAAAAGCAAAGAGTTAACATATATTTTATGACAGAAATTTTTGCACAGACTAAATATTTTACATACACAATATATAAGTTTATTTTTCAAATACATTATTAAGCCATTATGTTCATTCTGGCAGAGTTACTGGTTGCCTAAGATGTTTTTCTTTATACAACTCTCAGGAACCTCAGTGCTAAGATCTTTGTCCTTGTAAAGTAAAGAACTGTTAGGTGCTTTTGAGTCGGCGTGTGTAACAGAATGAAATGTTGCCTGGTCCTATGCCACCCTCAACAACAGTAGGTATGTTTGAGACTAGTGTTGCAGCCATTGTGTAAATCCATCTCATTGAAGGTCTTCCTCTTTTTCACTGACCCTCTACTTTATCAAGCATGATGTCCTTCTCCAGGGAATCGTCCCTCCTGATAACATGTCCAAAGTACATGAAATGAAGTCTTGCCATTCCTTGCTTCTAAGGAGCATTCTGGCTGTACTGCCTTGAAGACAGATTTGTTCATTCTTCTGGCAGTCTGTGGTATAGTCAATATTCCCCGCCAACACCATAATTCAAACATGTCAGTTCTTCTTCAGTCTTCCTTTTTCGTCGTCCAGCTTTCACATGCGAGGCAACTGAAAATATCATGGCTTAGGTGAGCGCACCTTAGTCCTCAAAGTGACATCTTTGCTTCTTAACACTTTAACGAGGTCTTTTGCAGCAGATTTGCCCAAGGCAATATGTCATTTGATTTCCTGACTGCTGCTTCCAGGGATGTTGACTGTGGATCCAAGTAAAATGAAATCCTTGACAACTTCAATCGTTTCTCTGTTTATCATGATGTTCCTTATTGGTCGAGTTGTGAGAATTTTTGTTTTCTTTATGCTGAGGTGCAATCCATACTGAAAGCTGTGGTCTTTGATCTTCATCAGTAAGTGCTGCAAGCCCTCTTCACTTTCAGCAAGCAAGGTTGTGTCATCTGCTTATTGCAGGTTGCTAATGAGTCTTCCTCCAATCCTGATGCCATGTTCTTTTTCATATAGTGCAGCTTCTCGGATTATTTGCTCAGCACACAGATTGAATAAGTATAGTGAGAGGATACAACCCTGGATGCACACCTTTTCTGATTTTAAACCATACAGTCAGTCTTATATAACTCCAACATAAAATATAAGCAATGATGCATATTATATCATATTTAAGATGCCATGGAATCCTTCTACCATAGATGTTAATTTGGGGGAAACTGAGGAAATCTCTCCTTGGCTGCAAAACTAATCAACGAATCTAGAAAATCTGTAAACTGGAAACACTAGTACAGAATTTAAAATAAATACCAATATGTGCTTCAATACAAAATTACAAGTTTTACAACATACCTTATTTTAATGATTTATTCTATAAATAAATAGACACACTTTTGTTGCTGGAGTACAATATGATTATATAGGAGGTTTGTGGCAGATATTTCAGAGGCAGCATGATAACTTAAATTTTCATATACTCGTCAGTATTGTAAAACACTATTTTGAAAAAAGTTTACCATAAATGTACAACGGTACAATTAGTTTTATTATAAGTAAAAAATAATTTAAAGGTGGAAAAAAGGTACAACTTCAGTTAAAGTCATTCTGTGATATATAGTTCCCCTTCTTGAAACATAAGATTACTTCAGTTGATACCTATCTTAGTGTTTCCTCAACTGTAAAATATGGTTCTGCCTTAAAGAGGGAACGTGCTTAGTATAAATCAGACTTAGCTCTTAGATTCATTTATGTGAATTAGAGTTTTGATCTGGAAAAAGGTTATAAATATTAACTATACTATTTTACAGCTGAGAAAGCTAAAACCTAAAAAAGTTGTGTGATTGGCTAAGTTGACTACAGTAAACCTAGGACTCAGGCCCTTATCTTCTAGCTCCTCAATTCGATACTTTTCAGTATCATATTACTATACTATAGTACCACATTTTTGTACTGTATTACTAAATTACTGCAATTTAACTTTTTTTAAAAAGAACATTAATTATAATTGTGTATAGATAAATTACAATTAGAAATTCTCTTAAAATAGCTTGGAAATATTAACTTTGTACGCAGATAAAATATTCTCATGTAATAATCCAAATCTAGGTATAAGAAAAGAAGGTATGGTTATAATAGGTCATTTAACTTAAAATACAGAAACTTAATATTTAGAAAATGTATTTCTCTAAATATATCCATTCAAAAGTTACACAGTCCACTTCTTTTTCCAGTGTTTATCATTATCTATCATTTCCTGAGTCATTTCATCTCTTCAAGGTGCAATATTTAAAGTTTTCTGTTTAATAAAAAAAGAGTATTGATAGTAAATAAAATAAATATTCTTGGATATTGAAGTAGCTAAAAAAGCTCAGTTACAATTTATTGAAAGTAATGGATAGAATATATACAGCTATGTTAGTGGCCAAAATGGGCACTAAAAACATTTATTAAAGTTTTCATTAAGATATCTCACTAAAATACATGTTTTTATAAATTCTTAGGAACTGAAATTTACATCAATTATTGCAACAATGTATATTTTACAGGAAATGCTAAAAGGGCAAACAGAAATAACTGTCATGTTAGAAAGCTCTTCTCTTTGTAACAAAGAAGCCCAACAACACAGAGAAGGTTGTAGTACTAAAGTGAAGCTTAAAACCCAACAACTGAAACTGATAAGCAAATTTCGTTTCATTCTGTTCTTCCCATTTTGTGATAAAGAACCTAACTAGAGATGTGATCATAGGAAACTAAAGCAAGAGAGGGAAAAAAAAAGCAATGAGAAGACCAAATAATGAAAAAATGAAATAATCCACTATAAGTAGGGTGATTATATAATTTATGTTCCGAACTAGGACATATTTGAGAGTGAAGAGTGCTATCTCAGATAAGATGTATGGTCACCCCGACCATAAAAGATCAAGAGTTGGTTAACTTAACTAAAATTAAAAAACAACATATACATATGTCCACATACATATATACAACATACACAAATATTTAAATATGAGAATATATTCTTATGTTTAATTGTAGAGTTCTAGAGCTCAGTTCTTAAGCTAAAGAGTACATCACTTACTCCTTCTATGTTTGAAAACTATTATTAAAACTAAAATTTAAGTTTCAGTTTGATATAAGCTAACTTTAGGTTAGGAATCACACTCATTAAGAGCTGCTCAAATTAAGTTTCTTTATTTTAAATAATATATAATGCATCAAAAGATATTTTATGCAACAGAGATTTAAAAATTTTAGCAAAGTTAGATAAAAATGCCTATCCTAATTAAAAGGAGGGTCTTGTGAAACAGAAACTAGCTTACCAAAACTCCATCATAAGATCCTGTTTCGCTTGTCAGAAAAGCAAACATAACACATAGGTACGGATTGTTCAGCTGTAATCGTAGAGTACCACACATTTCTCTCCAAAGGGAGTTCTTCTCTTCCGTATAACCCGATAATGCCATGGCTACCACATTGAGATTCAGATCTCCTGCATATTAGTAACAATTAATCAAAATAATCAAAAGCTTAATATTCCCTTTTTCCACATTTCTTAAACCATAAACAAATAATGATCAGTGGGTGACTTTTACCCCCAGAAAAATGAGTCCACTAGGATAAGAGTTTTGATTCAGACTTGAAAATCTGGTAAGGACCAAAGCAAATATTTCCATTCTTACAAAATTAACTCTCATATTTGTAAATGCTGTGCAGAACAAGTTCATCTTTTAATTTTCAAGGTCTCATTCCAATCAGGTTTCTATACTGTATGTTGTTTATTTAACAGCTAACGGAAGAAAAATGAAGGCATCCTACCAGAATCAATATCAACTTTATCAATAAGTTCAATTATCTTGAGATATTTAACAGCATTGATAGTAAATATTACTGCATCTTAAGATGGCAATTTTCAAAATAGTTTTGTTTTCCTATTCCTAAATATATAAGGCACATTCTTATATGTGTCAAGTACAAAGTTCAGAAAGCCAGTATTTCAGCATTTTTATTATAGTATTATACTGTTAATTTTTCTAAGATAAAATGAACTTACCAGAATTACCAGAAAATTGCCTTTAAACACATTTGCAACAAAGCATTTGTTACCAATAGTCTTTTAAACATTTTTTCTTCTTAGCAGTTTATATGGCTGCTGATAAGCCACTAACCTAGCATTCTATGGCTGCCTAGCCTTCTCAGGTAAGTCTAGCCTCAAAAGAGAAAACTAAATTTACCTTTAACCTTTACTCTTAAATATTTTTACATTTATGACAGATGTTTTCTTTTTAGCTGAAGACCAGTGTTTCTCAGAATTCAGCATTCTGTTTCTTGGTCCTAATCATTTTCTTTCTCTTGCAAATAAAACAGCTTTTCCCATTTTATGTTCTTAGCAGGATTGTTCTTCATTCCCATAAACATTTTTCCTAACTTACTTTATGCTTGCTTCCTTTGCCTAGTCTCTTAACTAGATTTAAAGTTTTTTAAATAATTGTAACAAAGGAACGTCTCCACTGGGTACTGCTTAAAACAATTTATTTCCAACTGAAAAGGAATGTTTGACTCAGGAAAGTCGTTTCCTTCAGTCCTTAACCAAGTTATTAAAACTACTGGAAATATACTTTTTCCCTGTTGCTAGTGTGGGTCTTTAAATCTACTACTAAATTTCCCAGGTACACACAACAAGAAAGTACACCTTCAGGTTGTAGCAAAGATATAATTAGAAATGACTGCAGACATCAATTCTTTTTTCATCACAATTTATCTTCCATTGCACTGTCAAATGGGGAAGACTGATGTTAGAGGAAAAGTGAAGGAAAGATGCCAACGTGGGCAAAACATTAGCTTTTTCAACGTTAAGACTGCAAACAGATATATTACAGTTAATTTCACATTCTTTTCTGTAGTACAACAGAACTACAATAGTTTCAAAATAGAGTAGCAACAAGAAGTTATTCTGAATACCCAAATGATTTGCTAGGTATATTAAAAATAGATACCTATCTACATCTTGCGTATTTTCAAGTGAAATATTTCTGACAAGGAAAAAAAAAAGAAAAACCCTAAATTTTTAAATTAAGAGTTGCTTCTGAATACTCTGTGCAAAATGCCAGAGTAAAAACTTTATCACCTTTCACTGTTTCTTACTTTTTTTAAAAAATATTAAATGGAATATATGTTTTAATCACCGGACTCAAGTAGAAGCATTTTTCCAGATCAAAGTATGCTTTTTATAAGAATCTATACTAGTTAATCAAAACTGTCATTCAGTTTCCTAAAGGTTAACAAATAACCATCTAAAAGAGAAAGTACAAACAAAAATATATTCAAATGTTTTACAATACTAAAAAGTAGCTCTAATCTCCAAAGAAATAAATTTTTAAAATCTATGTGCAGTGGGCTGTATTTAAAAAAAAACTGAAAATGGACTCATTTAAGCACTGCTTAAAATATTACTGAAATAACATTTAGTAGACATATTTTCTTTTATACAGACCTCAACTAAGATATAAACAAAAGGGATGGGCTAATAATTATAGATTTGGTACTGTGCTAATTTATCTTTCAACAAAAACTCATATAAAAACACTGATCTGATTAGATTTTAAAAATATCAGCATCCTTTCTTTAAGTGATTCTACAAACTAGAATGATTCTACAAACTAGAATTCTACAAACTACCAACATCTTAGAATATAACCTAATACCTTTTTCTGAAGATGCCCCTTCATTCAGTATTTGAATTGCTCGCCGAATATCCAAGTTGAACAATGCCACAGCAGCAGCTCTCTCCCATTCCCCTTCTTGTACAAGGGAGTTCAAGAATGGCCCCACATCTACATCTGTTCCCTTCTTTATCCACCCGCAAAGCTGTAAAGCTAAGATTCTCTCTTCACTTAAATTTTGAATATCAGTTTGCTTATCTAATCCACTCCAATTATGTCTGCTGCTTTCCACCATTCCTAAAAAGAAAAAAACATTTTTATATTAATTCCTTGGTTGTTATTTTGAAATACATTGAGAAAGTAAGTCAGTTTTACGACCAATATTTTAACAATTTTGAATATTCAACATGTTATCTTTGCCTTTTTTTCCCTCCACCTCCTTTGTCCAACTAATCATTAAATTTTGTCCTACTCTATAATTTATCCACGCTTCTCTAACCTTTCTGTCACTACCCCTGATAAGGACACAATCACTTCTTGCCTGATTACTATAGGCCCTTTCCTGATATCCCTGCTATATAATCTTGATCCCTTCCAATTCATTTCAGAGTGACAGTTCTAAAACACAAATCTAATCGTTACTACCCTTTAAAATCCTCCCTTGGTTCCCTCTTGTTATAGGATGATAAATCTCCCTAAATCCTTAACATGATTTCTAATCCCTTCTTGAGTTAGCCCAATGCTTAGCTATCTAGCTTCCATTCTTTCTTCACTTCCCCTCATACTCTGTTTAAGCCATAATAAATGTGCTATGCTCTCTCCCCTCTGGGCTCATTATCTATGCTGCTCCCTATTTGAACTCTGCCTCTACCTCCTCCAGCAAACCTTCTCTAATCTTTAAAAAACCAGATTAGGAATCCTTCCTATGTATAACCGTCTGTTCTTTCTTACATTACAACTCCCTGTTTGCTTGTCTATATTTTGAACTAGAATGTAAATGCCTCAGGTACAGGAATGACATCTTGAAGCTCCATGAGGGAAAAGACTTGTCTACCTTGTTGACAGTTATGCCTCCAGTTCCTAGGATGATTCCTGGCACACAGTCAGCATGTACTATTTGCTGAATGAATGAACAAACTTATCTCGTATTGCAGCTATAAGAATAAAGTAACATGGGGGAAGCAACTAGCATCATGTCTAATTCACAGTAAGCACTCAGTATATACTATCAGTAAAGTTAAAATTTAGTTGTGTGCTGTTATTAATTTGTGCATTTACATTACCATGATCAAGATGGCTCAATGTGTTGACTTACTATGTGTTGAATTATTAGCAACAGAATTAGAGGTATTGCCAGATAAAATAAAACTTAGAAGTGTCATTTTTGACACTAATTTCTCCACTTTTTACCTTTGGGAAGTAGAAACTAAAATATCTAAACAAAATAATCAAATAAAAAACTGACAATCTAGCAATGAGGGAATGAGGAAATCTTTCCAATAGTCTTTCTTTAGTTTGGGTAAAGACTGGTCTTGACTCAGGGGTAGGATACTCAGTTTGTCTCTACTGCACCAGAAACATAGTTATTCTACTTTCCCCTTTGTTTTTTTCTCAGAGGTTGTTTGTTGGTTTTTCCCTAAAATATATCAAAAGACAACAAAACCAATAACCTCAGAATAATTGAGAATGCAATGTGGCCTGATCTACTGCTAAAATACTATAAATTCTATAAACCTGGTTCTTAACCTTTTCAGGACTGGTGGTATGTATAGCTACCAATTACTTTGTGTACCTCTACAGTTCATTGGGAAGCTACTGTCCCACTGACAGTATGTGCTGCTGGCATGCAGGGCCCTATATAATGGTTTAAAATGGAAAAAACAGGTATGTGCCGCAAATTACAGGGTATTGTATGAGGTGGTGCTGAATCATTGAATTTTTGGTAGGAAAAACATGAATTTTGAAAAATTTTATTTGGTACACGTATGTACCTCTGGACTCTGGGGCTAGAATTTATGTTCATAAGGGGTATACATATGTATCTCTGGACTCTGAGGGTATGATTTGTGGAATGAGGCATAAAACAAAAAACCATATTACCTACCAAAAATTCAGACACACTCAGTGATTCAGCACACCCTCTGTTACTGAAAACATATTATCAACGAAAAATTAAAAGGAAAAAATAATGGGGTCATGAAAGGGTTAATTCTTTGCAGCAGTGGTTCTAAAATCATGAACCATGATCTTCAGGTTCATTTAAGGGTTAATACAGTATGTTTGTCCTTTTATCTAACTTAATGAAGACATAAGGCCAAAAGTTTCTAATTAAACTCGTTCATTTCATTCCTCATAACAAAGACTACTTTTTGGTGGAGGGCTAATAGAAGAACATCAAAATAAAACAGGTAAGTAGTCTACTACATCTTCCAGCAATGTGAACCAAAGCAATTTGAAAACTCTTAAAAAAAAAAAAAAACCTATAATAAACACAACAGTTTAATTTAAATGCTTTATCTACTCATATTAAAAACAGCATATTATTTTGTATTGATGAATGTGCTGTAAAAAATTAAGTTGGATTTATTACTTCTACTACTGCTCTTTGATGAGCTAATGTAAATTATTTTTCTAGTAGCTTAACTAGCTTCCAAACTGGAATGTCATCAAAAGCTAGAGACCAAATCCTAGGTCAGGGAGATACTTAGAATAATCCACAACTCAATTCCAATAAAAAAGAGTCAGAACAATTGTTTAAAGCAGTCAATAAAAAAGTAAGTGTTTTCTGTCACCTTTATTTCTAAAATAGTTTATCAATTTCAATCCTACATTAATTCATACTGTCAAAGACCATTTCATGTAAGGCTTCTTTAGGTATGGCCACACCTCACGTCATAGTCACAGTCCTTGCCATTACACGGCTAAGTGAAACTGTTCAGGCAGCAAAATAAAAAAGGGTCTCTTTCAATTAGAGATCTTTTAATTTAGTTTTTAAAAAGCAAAATACTGTGATAATATACAAACTAATAATTAGCACCTTACAAATCACCTAATGCCTCTCAGAGTGGGTCTTCAAAAAATAACACAGAATAAATTTAGAAAGTCAAAGAACCAAGACTCCCTTCAAAAAGTATTTGGAATATAATTACAGTTATGCACTTAACCCAACAATTCACTATAATATCTAATCAGAAAACCAAAAAAGAAAAAGAGTATTAATGTACACTACCCAGAAATATCTAAGTAACTCTGCCAAATGATGGGGGGAAAACAGAGTACAAAAATTATAAATAGAGTGCAGAAAATAAAATGGAATTTTCTTACCCAAAGAAGATTTTACAATCGATTTAATTCCAGCATAAACCAATGATCCTTTGTTGCCTGGAGATTTCTGATCCATATCTTCTGTATACTGCTTCATAAGTATTTAAATGCATAGGAAATACTAGTGAAGATGTATAATAAAATATTTCAAAGCTAAATGTGTTTTGATTTGGAGTCAATTCATAATAGGTCAGTGTAAGTAAAGTAGTTCTATTCTATTGCAGACACATGCTTTTCTTCCTCCTGTAAAATCTGCAAAGCAGTATTTCAAGAGTTTTACACAATTTTACTTTGTAATTTTAGTATTATATAACTTGTATTTGCAGATAAAACATTTTGCATATTTAGACTGACCTTTCAGAAAACTTCAACATTTCTACCTGATTCATCTCACAACATTCACAATGCAAAGGATATAGTGCAGAGTATACCAGAGTGACTTGAGCTGTGGATCTTCATTTCCAGCTAAAATGTGGTTTCTCCAAACCTGCTCTGTATCAAGTCCATACCTTGATAAAGCCCGAAGGCGCATCTTCGTTGCTATATCTTTTTCTAAAGAATTATCATTTTCTTCTTCTGCACATTCATACAAATGACGACCACAAGCCCACATTAAAGATGTAATTGGGCTCCAGGCAAGAGAGATCCTTTCAAAAACTGTGAAGTCAGACATGGTTCGGTTGGGAGTTACAACTATCATTCGATTTTGACTTGTTGGATGCCATGCAAAGGAAGCAATGTAATTATCACAAGGCTGCACGCTTCTTTCAATTATCGTGGGTTCAGTTTCATCCCCAATAGGAGTGGGGGTATGCTGCATATCATACAATCTAATAATATTACTATCCCTTGTTAAAGTGGCAAGCAGACCTGTCCTAGTTGGACACCATGCTACTTTTGTTAAGGGCTTTGGTTGCTCAGTCAAAGTCAAAACTGGTTTCTCAAATTTTCTAAGATCCCATATTGCAACCTGACCTTCATAGAAGGAAGCAACACGATCATGGAAGTATGGGTCTACTGTCACCCCCTGAACAGCTTTTGTATTTACAAACATCTTTTGGCTTGTATTCCGAAGATCAAATATGGCTAGGTTACGATGCATACCAGCAAGTAGAAGCTTCTGGTCTCGTGGAAGCCAACAAAGAGAGAGACAAGCATCATTCTGCCCTAATTCATAAAGTGGTTTTGTTACTAACAATGTTGTTTCAGTTTCACCTGCTGAAAGTCTGACTTTCTCCATGGGAACTATATCAGGAGTGTATTTGCTACAGATATCCCATATTAGCACTGAAAAATCAGCTCTGTGTTTATCTAGACCAGCAGCAAGCCAGTTACTATCCAATGGATTCCATGCAAGAGTATTGCATTGTCGTGCATGTTTTGGAACAAATTCTTTTCCTATCAAATCTTTGAACTTTGAGTTATGATCTTGACCAAGACTTGTAAGAACAACTCGACCATTTGCTTGTCCAACCGCCAGGAGACATTCAGGATCATAATTGAGATACCAGGCAACACATTTCATATAGGGTGTATCTGAATTTATTGACAGTAATGTCGCTGCAGAGTCTTCAGATAAACGTAATGATCCAGCTTTGAGTTCTGAATTCACAGTAGACTCCACGTGATAAAGGCTCAGTTCTGAGTCACATACAACAAATCTATCAACCTGATGCGGTGCCCACAAAATATCAGGTTTGGTACCACTCATGTTTATTGATCTGTTCAAAGGGTCCAGTCAGGTCCATTCACTGAAAATCTGTTTAAAAATAAAAAGAGTTTTAAGATATCGACAAAATACAATTCTTAAGGTGAATAAACTATTCAGGAAGCCGGGAAATTTTCTATACAGATATTCTGTTTTTCACTATATTTCTGTTTACTCTACCGGCTATGAACTTAAAAGATAAAAGTAGAAAAAAGAACCACTTCCTTAAATAAGATGAACTGGTAGGAATCTGAGAACTCTATCCGGCTTCATTTCCCATGATCAATTATCTTAATTGCACCACTACTACTACCTTCATTTTAACCTTAGGGTGAAAATAATTTCAGTGTGGCAAGCAGATTAATAAGCATTATTCCTTTGAAGGGGGTGAAACTTTAAAGACTTGTGAATCATGTTTCTAAGCAACAGTTCAGGGCAGCACTGTTCAACAAAACTTTTGTAATAATAGAAATGTTCTATATCTGTGCTGTAGAGTATAGTACCCACTAGCCACATGCGGCTACTGAGCACTAGAAATGTGAGTAGTGTGAATTTTAAAATTTTTAAAATTTTAATACAAATAGCCACATATGACCACTATAATGGAGTGCAGATTTAAAACACAATGCCACTAGTAAAACAGGTCTCCAACTTTCAATGATAAAAAGCAGCCCTACACAGCAGAATAAACAGTGGAATGTACTGAGCATACTTGAGTTCTATCCTTAGTTCTGATATATTGCTAGATGACCTTGGAAAGTACTTTGCGTTAGTAAGGTCTCCCTTGTTTTCTCATCTACACAGTATAAGAGTTAGATTCAATCCATGTTTCCCAAACTTTAGTTATTAATGTACCAACCTACTATACCCATATACCACCTGTACTGTTATTTTAATATTTTTCTTTAAACTGACTCATTTTTAAAATCTAATTTTATTATAAAGTCTATAAATCATGAGTATGACATGCTAATTATATTTTCAAAACACATTAAAATAAATATATAACTATTAAAAATGGTTGATTGTGGTTTACCTAAAATCATTCTATTTACTACCAGTAGTAAACACACTGCTTTCTGGGAAACTAAGTTACACGATCAGTAGAGTTTTCAATTCTATAAACTTTGAATAAGTGTCAAAATTGGATGTCTGTAAAGATATATATTCTAGCAGTTTAAGCACAAGCTAATGGTTAAAAGTGGCACTTAATAATAAAGGCCAACTACAACAATTTTATTGTCTATTTCTAACTGAGACTGGTTAGAGCTTATAGTCTGAATTCAAGGTGAACAAAGATACTTCCAATCATCATGGCATTGGCTGTCAGTTCTTGTACGGTAAAGCTATGTTTGTTCATTTTTTTATTCTTAGTACCAGGTATAGAGCCACAGAATTCTAATAAAGATATAAAATAAATTCAACTCAAACATAATTGCTTTATTTTTTGATTTTGAAAAAATTTTAGTCGGGAATTACTAGAATAGAATTTCATAGACTCATAATTTAGATGATTGGGAAAAATGTCTAAGAATTATTATACAGGCTTCACTTTCTTCCTTAACAGTTCTAGAGCCCAGGGTCAGTAATTTAATTATATTCTCCTTAGAACCCTCAATTTTTCATTTCCTTACTATTTTGGCTTTGCCATTCCCCAACTCTAGATCAACCCAATTATTTACATCTTCACGTTTCCATTCAGGCTGCAAAGTGCTACTAGACTGAGGATGGCCTCGTGACTCTGCAAACTGACTTCATAATTCATAAGATTATTACACTGAGACAGGACCAGCTACATAATTTACAGGGTCCAGTGCAAAATTAAAATGGAGCTCCCTTGTATAAAGATTAAGAATTTCAAGACAGTGACAGCAGAGAATTAAACAGAAATGTATTTCTTTACAACCCAAAACCCAATATAGATGGATCCTCACTCAAACACAAATCATAAAGACTATGGTGTATAGCAAAGAAAACTGAGCCTGGAGTCAGAAGACCTCTAGCCACTCATTACTGTTGTTAGGTGCCGGAGTCGCTTCCAACTCACAGAGACCCTATGTACAACAAAAGGAAACACTGACTGGTCCCATGGCATGCTCACAGTCCTTGCTACGTTTGAGCCCGCTGTTGCAGCCACTGTGTCAATCCATCTTGTTGAAGGTCTTCCTCTTTTTCGATGACCCTCTATTTTACCAAGCATGATGTCCTTCTCTAAGGACTGGTCCCTCCTGATAACATGTCCAAAGTACGTGAGATGAAGTCTTGCCATCTTTGCTTCTAAGGAGCATTCTGACTGTACTGCTTACAAGACAGATTTGTTCGTTCTTCTAGCAGACCATGGTATAGTCAATATTCTTCATCAACACTATAATTCAAAGGCATCAATTCTTCTTTCGTCTTTCTTATTCAATGTCCAGCTTTCGTGTGCACACAAGGTGACTGAAAACACCATGACTTGGGTCAGGTGGCACCTTAGGCCTAAAAGTGACATCTTTGCTTTTTAACTCTTTAAAGAGGTCTTTTGCAGATCTGCCCAGTGCAATATGTTGTTTGATTTCTTGACTGCTGCGTCCATGGGCAATGATTGTGGAGTCAAATAAAACAAAATCCTTGACAACTTCAGTATTTTCTCCATCCAACTGTGAATATTTTTGTTTTCTTTATGTTGGGGTATAATCCATACTGAAGGCTGTAGTCTTCAACCTTCATCAGTAAGTGCTTCAAATCCTCCTTGCTTTCAGCAAGCAAGGTTGTGTCATCTACATATTGCAGGTTATTAACGAGTCTTCCTCCAATCCTGATGCCGCGTTCTTCTTCATATAGTCCAGCTTCTTGGATTATTTGCTCAGCATTCAGCATACAGACTGAATAAATATGGTGAAAAGATACAACTCTGATGCACATCCTTCCTGATTTTAAACAAAACGACACAGTATCCCCTTGTTCTGTCCAAATGACTGCCTACTGGTCTATGTACAGGTTCCACATGAACATAATTAAGTGTTCTGGAATTCCCACTCTTTGCAATGGTATCCATAATTTGTTATGATCCACACAGTTGAAGGCCTTTGCACAGTCAATAAAACAGGTAAATATCATTCTGGTATTCTTTGCTCTCAGCCAAGATCCATCTGACATCAGCAATGAAATCACTTGCTCCACGTGCTGTTCTGAATCCAGCTTGAATTTCTGGCAGTTCCCTGTAGATATAGCGGCAACCGTTTTTGAATTATCTTCAGAAAAATTTTACTTGTGTGTGATATTCATGATATTGTTCAATAATTTCTGCATTCCACTAGATCACCTTTCTTTGGAATGGGCACAAATATGGATCTCTTCCAGTCCGTTGGCCAGGAAACAGTCTTCCAAATTTCTCAGCATAGACGAGTGAGTGTTTCCAGCGTAGCATCAGTGTGTTGAAACATCTCAATTGATATTCCATCAATTCCTGGAGCCTTGTTTCTCACCAATGCCTTCAGTGCAGCTTTGACTTCTTCCTTCCATACTATTGGTTCTTAAACATATGCCACCCCCGAAATGGTTGAATGGTGACCAATTCTTTTTGGTACAGTGACTCTGTGTATTCCTTCCATCTTCTTTTGATGCTTCCTGCATTGTTCAATATTTTGCCCATTTAAAAAAAAAAAAAGTTGCCACTGAGTCAATTCCAACTCAGAGCGATTCTACAGGACAGAGAACTGCTCCATAAGGTCCAAGGAGTGGCTGGTAGATATGAATTTCTGACGTTTTGGTTAACAGCCATAGCGTGCTGAAGCTCTTAACGCTTATGCCACCATTTTGCCCATAGAATCCTTCAATATTGCAACTTGAGGCTTGAATTTTTTCTTCATTCTTTCAGCTTGAGAAATGCCAAACGTGTTCTCTTCTGTTTCTCTCCCTCCAGGTCTTTGCACATTTCGTTACAAAATTTTACTTTATCTTCTGGAGCCGCCTGATTTCTTTATATGACCTTGACTTCCTCTCCATATGAAAAGACTATGTCTACATTTTTAAGTCCCTCTTTTTCGATTTAATGTTGTCATCTTTTACATATTGACATCTGTTTCCCTATTTTCAGTGTTTTAGCTTTGATTTACTTTTGTGACTTCCCTATCTGGGTTAATATCTGGTTGCTCTGTCCTTGTTCTAGTCTTGGGTTGTTATCTGATGTTACTGATTTTCTAACCGGAGGACTACCTTTAGTATTTCTTGTAATTTTGGTTTGGTTTTTGCAAATTCTCTAAACTTCTGTTTATCTGGAGATGCCCTAATTTCGCCATCATAATTGAGTGACAGTTTTCCTGGATATGTAATTCTTGGCTGGCAGTTTTTTTCTTTCAAGGCTTTATATATGTCATCCCATTGCCTTCTTGCCTGCGTGGTTTCTGCTGAATAGTCCAAGCTTATTCTTATTGACTCTCCTTTGCAGATGACTTTTCGTTTATCCCAAGCCGCTCTTAAAATTCTCTCTTTATCTTTGATTTTGGCAAGTTTGATTATATTATGTCTTGGTGACTTTCTTTTGGGATCTACCTTATGTGGGGTTCGATGAGCATCTTGGATAGATATCTTGTCATCTTTCACGATATCAGGGAAGTCTTCCACAACAAATCTTCACAAATTCTCTCCGTATTTTCTGTTATCCCCCTCATTCTGGTACTCCAATCACTCATAGGTTATTCCTCTTGATAGAGTTCCACATAATTCTTAGGGTTTCTTCATTTTTTAAAATCCTTTTATTTGATTTTTCCTCAAATAAGTTGGTGTCAAGTGCTTTATCTTCAATCTCACTAATTCTGACTTCCACTGTCTCAATTCTGCTCCTATGACTTTCTAGTGAGTGGTCTAATTCTGAAATTTT